TATTTTTATTGACACATGAATTATAGCCTGCATTTTAGCCTGTTTTAGCCATACACATTTGAATTGCTGCTTTAACTCAAGCTAGTTTTAGCTATTTTAATTTACATTTGAATTGCCAATATTTCAGCTAGTTTTAGCTATTTTTATTTACACATGAATTATAGGCTGTATTTTAGCCTGTTTTAGCCATACACATTTGAATTGCTGCTTTAACTCTAGCTAGTTTTAGCCATTTTGTTGTCTACATTTCAGCTAGTTTTAGATATTTTTATACCATTTTGCATGGCACTTTTCGACCAAGCTTTAGCTTAGGCACAACTTTTTAAACAGAGTATTTCGCAGTCAATGAAATGCACACGCAGCGGCTTTCACTTGTTTGTGTGTTGTATTTCCGTGTGTATGTGTGTGTGTGCGTGAGTGCAGAATTGTGCAGTGGGTTTTCGGTTGCTTTGACAGTCATTGCCATACGTTCCATTAGCTTTTTTTAGCGCCTATTGCTGTGGCGAATATGGCTATAGGTATGGCTATGGCTATGGCTAAATCTATCACTGGTTATCCAGCTATCTATCTGTGCGTGCTGAAAATTTAACAGATTTTTGCGTGTGCGGCTTTTCTATATTGCGGTTGGCCAAAAAGCCGCTGCGACTAAGCTGCAGCCTATGTGCTGAGTGCGAGCATCAGTCCGTGAGTCAAACCGTCTGCCAGTCAGTCAGTCAATCTGTCAATCTGCCAGTCTGTCTGTCCATCAGTTTTGTGTGGCCGTGTCATACGGTTCTTATTTGCATCGATGGGCTTCAAAATGGAGCTAAGCAGTTATTGGACTCGTTAACGTCATCATTGCCATCAGTTGCACCTGCCTGACTCTGCACTTTTTGCCAGCAATGAAGCGTCAAAGTGCAAATGAGCCAGGACACATACACAGAGCACCTACGTACACACACACACAGAGAGCTGGAATGCATGCAAGCAGCTCTGTGCAAACAGAAGAAAATGCACTCATGCAATATGCAGCAGGTAATCTCGTTTCTTTTAATCGCTGTTTGACATCAAAATTAGAATTTCTTAAGATGCCAAGAAGGCCCCAGCTATGGTGCTCAGCATAAAGAGCTCCTTTATTGCGAGTTGTTTGCATAGCTTTTACTGCAGAAGACGCGACACTCGGTTTCAAAAGACACCTTTGATTGGGCAGGTGTGCATGCGTGTGCCTGTGTGCGTGTGTGTGTGTGTTTCCCGTTCTTTGCTTAGGCAAATTGAAAATTGATGGAACGCTTTTAGAGCTGACCACAGTTTGCTTGGCATCAATTCGAAATTATGCTTCCTGGCAATCCTTACACACAATGCTATTGCCATTTAGCTCGCTTTAGCCTGAGTGTATTTCAATCCCTTTTTGATTTTTTGCACACTCTGATTCGCTCGTTTCTAGCTCTGCATTGTTCATTTTGTTGCATTTGGGGAGTTGGTTCTCTACGGTCCACTATTGATGCCGTGACACGTTCCAACAATCGCTCACTTTGACGGCTTCTATGGCCCAGTGTTTGAAGTTTTTCCTATTATTGTTTACTTTTCTTTTCCACTTAGATTCCATCCTTTTGTTCTCACCTCACTCCCTTTCTCTCTCTCTCTCTCTCTCTGTGGCCATGTAGTTTTTGCACATTGTTGCTGTTGGCTCCGAAGGAAAGGTTCAAGTTTTGCATTAACAAAAAAAGAGAGAAAATTGAAACAAGAAACTTGAATTGAACTTGAAGCACACGAAGTAGTAATACCCTAGCTCACTTTTGCTAATAAATTGCTTTCGCTTGACTTTTAGTTGAAAACTTAATGATAGTTTCCATGTCAGCTTTAGCTGTACTTATTTGCATTGACAGAGTTTGCTTGATTGGAGGTAGGAATATAAATATATATATGTATAGTATTTTTTTGTCTTAACTTTTGTTTGTTTTAAGCTAAATTGTTTTGCGGTTTTTAATGACTGAACCAAGTTTGCAACATTTTAATAAAATAGTAGAGGTTTTTCATAGTCTTTGAGTTTTTTTGGAGTAAAAAATTTCTAATGAATTCTATTCTCTATTCTATAAAATATATTCTATATTCTATATTCTATATTACATATAATAGAAAAAGTTCGATTGGAATTGTTAAATATGCTTGGATAATTTGAAATTTTAGTTATGAAGAATGTATTTAAAATTTGCATAGATTAGCTTAGGTAGCCTGGAATTTGTATTTACAATATATTTAGTCAAAATATATAAATAAATAAATATAAGATTTTCAAAGAAGAAACTATCATTGTATTAGACACTCGCCCTTTCAGTGAATTGAATCTAAAACCTTAGAAGAATATCCGAAAAAATTAATAATTAATAAAAGCACAAAGAGCCTCAACAAAGTATAGACTTAATAAACCTGTGGAATTAAAACCTTAGAAGAATATCCTAAAAAAATTAATAATTAATAAAAGCACAAAGAGCCCCAACAAAGTATAGACTTAATAAACCTGTGGAACTGGCCTTGACGAAATCAAGCCAAGTCTTGAGCCCAATTCTTGCAGTTCACTTCCCAGTTCTTTGAAACTATTTACTTCACTATAAAAGATCCAAGAAATAATACATCAATAAAATATATATATATATAAATATTTGCTTATTTTGTAGTTTCCCTGGAGTTTTCGCATGGAGTCCTTTGTGGCATTATTTATGTCTCGCCTTAGACTCGGAACAGCCATTGCCTTAAAGCGCTTAGCTGAGCCTTGTTTTCATTCGTGTGATTGGATTGTGTATGTGAAACAAAAGCGGAAGGGGGGGCACAAAGGAAGTTGAACTGTTGTCTGTTTGTTTATGTATTCCATTGTATTATTGTTTAGTTGCTTGGGAGACCCAGATGTGCCATGGGTGTAGCAGCAGCTGGAGCCCTGCCACATGCATTCAGGTGAAACACTTTTGCAATTTCACGTGGCCAGCCTCTGAACCTCAACAGGGCAGGGCATGGTAGCGAGCGGGGGTAGAGGGCTTCCTCATGCTCATCGTCCTTTTTCGTCCTGGCACTAGGCGAGTGCCAGTTGCGTCAGCAGTTGACTGAAAGACAAATGGAAGCTTCACTTGGCTTGGCTACTGGCTGCGCCAGCAATTAAAGGATTTCATGTTGCTGTTGCTGCTGCTGCTGCTGCCTTTGCTTCTCCCACTGTTTCTTCGGCTCTTTTTTCACAGGATGAGTACACAGAATTTTTTTGTTGCTCTTGTATCCATTTAGTCACTGTTAGTTTTAACTTTAAGGGTCATTTGTCTCTTGCAAAACTTTTCGTCTCACTTTGTTTTGCCAAGTTGCATGTCATTGTGCATGGCTCAGAGCTTGTCTGGCTGGCTGGCGTTTGGCCTGGCGCAGAGGTCTAGCCAAATTATTGGCCCCATCTTCGCATGAACGTGTATATAAACGCACATCTACATAGCAGATATAGCGCCATATACAATATAAATTTATATGTGCTGTGAAACATTTTAATTAATCACCAGGGGCATCAATTGCATTTTGTATGCTAATAATTTATGTTATAAATATTGCACAATCTCTGTCCCCCTCTCTGTCTCTCCCAGCCGTTTGCCTATGATCATATATCCATAATTTAAGGTTTTCCCGACTCCTAAAATGTTTTCCCCCCTCGCTTGTGGCGCGCATTTAAAATGAATTGATATTCAATTATGCCAAACAACTCTGCACTATGGCAAACAATTGAGTTTTGTGTTTTTGTGTGGGTGGTGTTGGTGGTGGGGGCGTAGCTGGTGCTGCTGCTACTGCTGCTGCTGGTGACGCCCAGCGCTAAATATTAAATAGCAAATAATAAATATTTATTTAGGTTTGCAGTTCATATTTTACAATATTTGATGCGGTCGTAATTGTTGTTTAAAAAGTGCATGAAAAAAGAAACATCTGCATTTGAGAGAGGAGTTTCCATTGAAATGGGGAGCTAGAAAATTTAGTGGTACATCACGGATTGAATCTCAAACAAAGTTTTATCCAGATCATTTTAAAATTTAGGTATATTAATAACAATATATATTAATAATTTACTTTAAATATCATTTTCAATATAATTGAATACAGCTTTGACAGGGAATAATTTGAGAATCACAAAAAATGCTTTATATTAATGAATTTTATTGAAAATAAATTAAAAATTACAGATATTTGCGATTCACAGAGAAGGCTGCATTTAAATGTGATTTAATGTAAATTAATGCACTCAAATTACAGATATTTGAGAATCGCCGAGAAGGCTACCTATACATAAATTAATTTACTTTAAACATAATTTTAAATATTTGAAAATCGCATAGAGAGTTGCATTTAAATATGTTCTGATTGATTCAATAAAAATGAAAATAATTAAATTACACATATTTGAGAATCGCAGAGAAGGCTACATGTACATAAATTAAAATACTTTAAGCATAATTTTAGATATTTGAGAATCGCATAAAGTTGTATTTAAATATGATATTATTGATTCAGTAAAAATAAAAATGAAAAATTAGACATATTTGAGAATCGCAGAGAAGGCTACATATACATGAAATAATATTTTAAATATTTGAGAATCGCATAGAGTTGCATTTAAATAATAAATAATATGAGAATCGCAAAGAAGGCTGCACAGACATGAATTAATTCTCTATAAATAAAATTTCACATATTTGCGAATCACAGAGAAGACTGCATTTAAATGTGATTTCATGTAAATAAATGCAATAAATTGCACATATCTGAGAATCACAGAGAAGGCTGCATATGCAATTAGTAATTTAATAATACATTTTCACATACACACATTTAACTATCATTAAATATCCAATGCTTAACATAATTTAGTTTTGTTGCACTCTTTTAAATTTAAGCAAAATCCAATATTTCTAAAGCTACTTTTGTTTATTTGTTATTTTTTTTCTATAAATATATACATTCAATTTGAACATTCAAGTGTATAATTAGCAACTGTTTTTTGATCTTCACAAAGTGCAGCCGAAATGATAGCCATATTTTTGCAAGTATTCGACTGTGAAGCGATTGCGTATGAGTTGATTTATTCGGGCCGCGAAACGCAGTCGAGCGTGATCCGTGTGACCCCTGTTGATGCCTGGCTTGTGCACCAAGAAGGCATTGTCCAGGGTGTTGAAGCTGTAGCCCATTAGGCAGAGGGCGAAGGATTGGATCATCTTATCGGACATGCCTTCCCAGTTCAAGCGTTCATCGTAGGGCGGATCGTGAATCGTTCCAATATAGATGGGATCCCAATAGCTGGAGCGTTTGCTGGAGCTAAACACTTTGATTGTAGTCGAACCATCGCTTTGGCGCATCCACTCGGGCAGATCTGGAGCCGTGTTGCACCTGGGACACACATAGGTATGAAAGGGAATGGCCTTACCCGTGGCCAGCAGTATCATCAGTTCATTTTTTGTGGATGGCACCGTGGCATTCGCTTCCACCTCGAAGATATTCAGCGGAAAGACTGATGCATTGGACCTAGCCAAATGTATATTGGTGGAAAGCATCTTCAGGAAGCCATCAACCAGGCCAGGTGTTGGATACAGTTCGATATCGGAGGCAAGAATATAGTGCGTCAGCGCTGCCTGCTTGGCAATATTACGTCCCATATTGATGGGATAATCCAGCTGCTGCTGCGTCCTATAAAGTGCAGCTTTCGACACTCCGACGAATGGCGCCAATTTCGAACATTTCAACTTCATGTTGGACAGTGAGCTTTGTGCGTAGACCCTGTCTGGCACATGATCCACGGGAAAGTAGATATGAAAGGTAACCCATTGCTTGATAAGTTCCCGCTCTGGTGCACATTGTCGCAGCCACATGATGCTGTTCACGGTCTCCTCGAAGTCCGTGCCAGGTGCGTAGATCGCTAGGCTTATTGGCGCCTGCCAGCGCTCTACCAACGGAGCCACATTATCCAAATACCGATAGTCCCCATGCGTGGTGTAGCTGACACTGGTGGAGCAGCGCACAGAGCCATGATTAGCCGGCACATAGTTCACCAGAGCCCAGTGGTTCGAGTGGCGTATCTTTTCATATTTAGGCACGCGATCTGTACAGTTGATGGCGACGCGCAGAGCGACCAAGTTCACAGTTGAATCCTCAGCTTCCGATCCGACATACGCAGCCAGCATTCCCATTGTAGTCTGGCTTAGCCAGACGCAGAGGCTGAGCACGTAAAGCAGCAGCCAAAACCATGATTTACGCATTTTTACTTCCGTTCACTTAGTTTTTCCTTAATTGTGTCTTGCCAGATATTTAAATGAATAGCGTAAGCTTAATGTATAAAAAAAAAAAACATTAGTAATTGATATCAAATTTTGAATTCATTTGAATTTATTGATTTTTGCAGAGTTTACTTTGTTGACTTTTGACTTTATGGCTATTCGAAGTGGGGAAAATGTTTTCACATAAATTGTAAATTATAAATATTATTTATAAATTTTTAAATATACACAACAAAATTATGTAAGCAATTGGACTTGACTTGCATCAAGCCAATGCACTCTGACTTTACTCAGTGAACTACTATATTTTCTAGAAGTTGACATTAGTGCTGAGTGTCTTATAGGCAGTGCTTTTGTCATATATTCCAAGTAGAAGTTTTAATTAAATTTTGAAAGGAATTTAAAATACTTTGCAACAATTCAAAGTGCTACTTTTACTTTGTCAACAAACACAGCAGAAATGCAAATATTCTAGTCAAGTTTCGAGCTTCTAATTGTCGTCGATCAGGCACTCTGCACTATTGTAGGCCACCACAATGTGATCCACCTGGTTGCGCACAACATGCGTGTCCTTGGCACATGGTGACCACAGCTTAACGATGCCCTCTTCTGAACATGACACAACATTATGCTGCATGGTAGTCTGGATGGTGTGTATACTCGCTGAGGTTTAGCTTTTATAGCTGCTGAAGTAACTATTGGAATTATATGAAATTGGAATTCTTTAAAGAGAACCTTGCCTTACCTTGAAAAATCAACAACATTTTAATACCTATGAAGGGAAAATCTGATTGTTATAAACTTCTTTACCAATTCTATACTCGTTCACGAAGCGATGTGAGTTTATGTGAGCTTTGTGGAATGTTACAGCCCGTCTTGCTGCCCGTCTTTTTATTCACATGAACTCAAATGATTTGCAATTCAAGCCATTTGGAGCACATACTCCTTGGTGTCCTCGTTTTCCAAGCTGCCAAGATCTTTCCGATATGCTCATTAGAAGCAGGGCTAATTAGTCTTCATACATACATCGTCCACAGGCTTGCAGCAAGAGCTCCATAATTTGACAGCTAACAAGCTGCAGAACGCTTAAGATCTATAAGAAATTAGACAACTCTTATTACGCCATGAGCGAGTATTATGCAGCTAAATATTCTTACTTATTTTATACCCTATATATGTTAGGGTATTTAAGTTTCGACAATCCAACAAGAATCCGAGTGGCCAATCCATTCACTATATTTGTTTTCTGTTTTTGGCTTGCACCACAGAGTTTGCTGTTTAGTAATTTATTTGGCCACAGAAGAGCGGAAATGAAATATGTGAAAAAAATTCTAAAACCGAATTCCACTCAAGTGAATGACTAATAAAACATTTGTCATATGACAGCGGATCAGTTGTGACTGTGTTCGCTGGCAAATTGATTTGTTTTGCGCAATTTGGCGGCTATTGAAATCAATATAATGTAAATAATCTGTTTTCAAGTGAGCCAACTATTGATTAGCGCGAAATTTTAATATGCAGCCGGCGCAAATATACAATTAATAAACAAAATTAATGTACATTGTTATTCATTGTTGTGTGCCCCTGCCACAATGCCGCAGCTCTCGCCGGACACAGCAAAATTTTAATTATGCCCCATCGAATACAAATACAAATATATGTATGTATGTGTGCGTGTATGTGTGTGTATAGAAAATATTAGTAATTACGAGTTGAAAATTCATGAAAATACAATTTGCGATTATTGTTATTAGTGTCAGGCAACAGGCAATGGCTGCGCCAATGTGCCCCTATCCCTTTCTTTGGGCCCCACAACTTTCAATGGCGTAAAAGTTTTACGAGCTGCGTCGTCGAGCAACAGCAGCTGAAAAATTTATAAATTCAATAGCACCTAATTAAAATTAAATCTGAAAGCTTGTTGTATCGACGACGGCGACGACGATGGCACACAGCTTAGGCGCCGGCAACAGTATCAGCAGCAAAAGCAACAGCGGCAGCAGCAACAACGTAAACACTTACAGCAAATATGTAATCAATAGTGTGTGCGACTGGGCCATACCCTGTAAATAGGCATTTTCTGCTGCTTAAACGTTTGCCTCATTAAGTGCTCAAGAGTATATTTGTTTAGAGTTTATTTGTTTGGACTTTGAATATAGTTTTGAAGATTGAAGAGATTTTAAAGGACTCTGAGGTGCTCATAATCAACTGATAATGTAGAAGGTAAGTAGTATATTCTTAGATCTGCCCATATCAAATGTCTTAAATCATACAATAGTCATATGCGTATACTTAATATGCGATTTGCAGAATATGCAAAGAGCTTTACAAGCAATTTATGCTTTTTAACATGTTCAAAATGAAAAATAATTTCTTAGCTATTCATATTCAAGATATTTTATTCAGATATCAATAATTGCAATTATTTATTTATTTTTTTATGTATATATTTATATATTATTTTACCTATGCCTACATAAAGCTATGCTGCGTATGCTTAATGCACATATGAATATAAAATATAGTTTTCTAATATAGTTTAGTTTAGTTTAGTTTAGCTTTCAATATAGTTTATTATCCCATTGAACAAGCATATACATATTTCTATTTATATATCTCAATATTCATGCAAAACTGTGCCCATGCTGCGTATACTTAATATGATATTTTATATGCAGCAAATCTATATTGCTATTTAGCTTGCTGTTCTGATCATGACTTCAACTTGTCCTCGACTTCATTTGCGTTTCAGCACATTAATATACGCCCCTTCAGCAAATTGTAATAGGTATGCTTACGCGAGTTACTGGCAAAAGACGGGCAAGGATGCTGCCTAGCTTGCCAAAGTCGTTGTTGTTGTTGTTTTTGCTGTTGCTGCTGGCAGGATATGCACGGTAAATGCTATAGCCGGAAATGAACACGTACTCTATGTGTGTGTGTGTCTTAGTGTGTGTGTGTGTGTACCTGGAAAAAGTTTACCAGCTGCCTCAGTCGAGCTCCGCTGAGCTTATTTATGAGCTGCCATACTGCGTGCGTATGTGTGTGTGTGTGTGCGTGCGTATGTGTGTGAGTACAATATTAATTATTGAAAGATTTCATATCGGCTTAAAGTTTCTGTTGCCGTGAGTGTTTTAGCCTGGCTTACGCCCAAAAGTATGCAATGCGGCAAGCAAATTGAAGTCACTTGTCGCATGCATCATCATCATCATCATCATCATCATCAGCAGCAGCATTATCATCCTCATCATCGTGATGGCAAATCCAATTTAATGCACCTAGCATCTTCTTCTCCTTTAGCAGCTGACCAAGCGTGGGCTGAACTGTGGACTGAACTGTAATACGAACTACTTTAACCCATGGACCTGGTGGGTTCACTTTGGCACTTCGACTGTTGCACTTACTCCACAGACTCGGGCGCTGGAAATGAACCAATAAATCAGTTTATAATGGCAAAAAGGCAAAGGCAACGGCAAAGGCAACGGCAAAGGCAAAACGCAATATGATGTCAGGGCAAACTTTTGGCGCCTCTTTTACGGCTGCAGCCACAGCAGCTGCATAGATCAATGAACCAAACTCGAAAGTGTTTTACGATGCGCCTGAAAGCAACGCAATGGAATTATATTTACTTGTGTGAGCAATAACCAAACCAGAGACCAAGACATTCACTCCAAATGGCATTGTGTCGGCTGTAAGGGATACGACAAGCGATTGATGACACAGCCTCAAAGTGGAAACGCCAAATGTGAGCTGAATGTGCTCAACAATCAGTTGACTCTAAGCAACTAGGGTCAATGTAACTATATGAAATCAATTGTTTATATTTTTATATATATTGAGACTCTAGTTTTGAACTATGCACAAATAATATAAGACAATTATTATAGCAACTTTTTATGCATACTCTGTTTATGAATGAAAGTCAAAAAGTTTTTTAATTAATACTTTCAGGTTAAACTTTGAGATGGAAGAGTGGAGGAGTGTCTTTAGTCTCTCTGGTATTTTTTATTTCCATATATATTTTTAAAGAAATCATGTACTAATTTATGCCAAGATAAGTTTGCATATATCAAATGTGCTTTAAAGTTCTTCAGCTCAAATAGCTAACACTATTGAAAGCATTAAACAACTCTAATTAAAGAGCTGAAATTACTGAACATTTTACTGATTTTTGTTTATATATAATTTTTTTATAAATTTTATATATGATTTATACAGACCTATAAAGTCTATATATATGATTTATGCAGTTTTATATAGTCTCTACATATGATTTATGAAGTCTTTAGTAGATCAAGCAATTATTAGAGTAAATCAAATGCAGGAATATGTAATATTTTCATTGCAACTAATAGCATTTGCACTTCTTACTTTTATCTGCTTTATAAAATGCGATTCGTTGCATCTTCGGCTTTCAGTCGATTCACATTCTGTGCAGCCCTGGCAAATGCAGTCTTTTGCTGAATAAATGCTGTCAAGCATAAAACATGTAAAGATAAACTGCTGCAAAAAGAACTGTAGCAAGTGTTGCATTTGTGATACCCTGTAAAGCAGCAAAGAGGGGTATATTAATCTTAAAGGCAGTAGCTTTGATAAATGTGCTAAGCTTGATGCTTGTAAATATTTCTTCTGTCTGTCTCGCTCTTTAAGCTAAGTATGCTCGGATATCATTAAAATATTAGAATATATTATCAAAATGCTTCATATTTATATAGAGTATCTGCAGGTGTCATCATCTTGAGTACGCATTCTTGCACATGTTTTGCAGATGTCTTTGTAATACACATAAATTATAACATGTAAACAAATATGTATCTATAAATATGTACAGATGACTAGAAAAGTCTGCTTGTCAACACTCAGCGGCAACAACAACAACTGTAACTGCAACAAGGAAGCACAAGAATTGGAGGCGGAGTACGTGGTACAGTTGGCCACGCTGCATATTTTAACATTTCCGGTTTCATTTCACAATGCAAACAAAATGGCCGGCAGACGTGTTTCCGGCGCAGCAAGGCAACTGCTACCTGCCTTGACCAGGCACACACACACACACACACACAATGATTGCGATGGGGGCGTGCAATCGTGCAATGCGCACACACACATATATATCTATATATACCGTTATGTTGAGCTGGCCTATAAGCCAATTGATTAGAGCCGTGTCCTCATCATCATCAGCATCATAACGGGCTTACGATCAAAGCCACCTCCGAGTTCGAGCCCCCAAAAACTGATAATCAATGCAAATAGTTTCAGATGCGCCGTGGGAGCTTTATTTCACATTTATTCAGTTCAGTTCGGTTCAGTTTTTTGTTGTTGCTGCCTTACATAGTTTAAGTGCAGGTTTTTGGGCTCGATTTTTGCGCTTAACTCTTTAATCTTGCTGCCTTTTTTTACTCTTCGTGTTTTTTTTTGACTGTGCGCAGTCGACATAAAAAATTTACCAGTTGATTTTATGCTGGATTAAGCTTAAACTTTATACTAAAAGGAACTAAGCAAGCGTAAATGGAGCCTGCTCGATTTTCCTCTTTTACCGCAGCTTTCCTTTTGCTGTTGTTGTTGTTGTAGTTTTGTGTTGTAGTTGTTGTTGTTGTTGTTGCCTATCTTGCGATTTTGTTGTACTTGGGGCCCTTGTTAAAATAGGTTTACGGTGCAAAGGCCTTCGATTCATGGTTTGCCCTTTTACATGTTTGCTAGCAAACGTGTGTGTGTGTGTGTTTGTGTGTGTGGGAGCGGGTTGAAGGACGCGTCCAAGCTACGTCTGACTGATTCCGTAGACCCAGTTGCCCGCCCGCTGGGTCTGGGCCTGGGCCTGAAATATTTGCCATGACAGTTTCTGGAGGGGGTCGAGACGGTTTTGGGGCCTCAACCATCATCGCCCACTTCACATAATTCAATAGCTTCTGCGAATCGGCCAGTCCATCAAGCCGGTGTGGAAATTTGTGGCACTGGTTTATGGGCTTATACACATCGTGGCCAATTTTCGAAGCTGGCTGCCAAACTCTCTCTCTCTCTCAGTCTCTCGGTTAATAGCTCCATTATATAATTATTGTGCATTATTGTTGCTTGTTCTGCGACTGCAGCACGTGCCACAGCAGGCCAAGCCACCTGGTTCGCTTATTTTTTATATATGTATAGGGTAGTTGCTGCCCGTTTGCCACATTACATTAATTTTGTCCGCATCAAGCGGCGACGGCGGCGCAGCTGCGTTGGAAGCCAATAAAAATTTGTGTCATTCAACTGGAAGGAGGCAGGGGGCAGTAGGCAGGCGGCAGGAGTGTCTGAAGTGGACCCCGCTACCCACTGCAAACCAATTCAACCACTCAATAACCAACGATATATAAATA